CCCCCCCCCCCCACAAAAATAGAAGAATTAGGTTAGACAAGTAAGATTCGCATCTACATAAAAAAAGAAAGAATGGGCACCAAAAAGAGAACATTTTGTTTACTAGAATTGGGTTAAACTTAAACTTGTTTTTCTTTTTTAATCGAGAAAAGCATTAAAGTTTCTTTCTCTACATAGTTTCACATAAAATGATTCTACTACTTTCTTCTTTTTAATACAAAGTTCTCTTTGCATGTTTGCATGAACATATATATACGCACACACACACACACATACACGCATACATACACAAAGCACGCAAATCTCGGTCTAGGAAATCAGTTTTGACATATGCTGCAGAACTTGAGATTGAGATACGCTTTCTTACACAAGTAACTCTGCATGTTAAACAATAAATTATCTACCTTCACTGTAACAAAAAACGAACGATTTTTTCTGCATTCTAAAGAGTCTCTAAACATATTCAGCTTCCCAAAAACACTACACATGCATACACCATCAGGGGTATCAGAAAAAATGTAAAATATTGTTCCATGTACTTCAAAAGTAATTGTGAAAAATAAAGCAAGAAACCAAACCAAAGTGAATTAAGTCATGCTCATGTTCTTAGATAACCGTTTTACCACAACTAAGCAAAATAATATAAATTTTTTTTTAAACATTTTTTGCCCGTCGAAGGCAACTAATCTAGTTTATGACCTTAGGGTGATCGAATAAGTTTTAAATATGGGATAGGAGCGATCACTGTACGTAATATAAGGAGCGCAAAATTTAGAAACGTCTAAGCATCTAGAAAAAGAGCTGTTACAAAGTTAAGTTAAGCGAATATTCAAAGCCTCCAAACGACCAATTTGTTCGTTGATATGCGTTCATGTCGCTTCGAATAAACGCTTGACTTTAACCTTCCTTCAGACCAAATCTCATTGTCCAATCGTAAGGCCATTAGGTATGTTTGCTTGACATTTTTTTAGATATGGGATCGTATAAATATTCTAAGGATGAAAAGCAAACATTTGCTATATATGATGACAAAGGCTAATCGCCTAAGATTGGCCGAACAAATTACTTTCACATGAAATATGAATAACGGCCAATCCATTCCATGTGGGCTGTCTCATGAAAAGTCAATATTTCTTTATATGAAGAAAATTAATTTTTCTAAATTTGAATCACGACAGTTCACGTTTTGAAGTCCCTCCTATATGAGGGGCTTTATTGAAACACTACGGTTTGCCTTGAAAACAAGATATAATTTTCATGATTTTATTACGAAGATTTTGCCGCTTTGTGCGGGACGATAATAGTTTTAGTTGTTTTCATAATTGTTAACTTTCCAATCCTTAAAGAATTTCAGACAATCACCGCCTTTTCAGAGTTGAACACAATGCGCCACCGGACTTTTTCGAATGTATACATACACACGAAGAAATACCTTTAAAAAAATAATACCTTTAAAAAAGGAACTACCGAAGAAGGAGCTTAATACGCTGTTTAAGTAATAAGCGGTAGGGTGTGAATTATTTAGATTATTATTAAGACTTGAAACGTTTCTATATCGTTGTCATGCATTATGTGTAGATGTGTATACTATTTGTTCGATTTATGCGATGTTTAGCGAAACGAACGGAATGTCTATAGAAAACGTGGGATAAATATGTCAACTTTGTTGACCGACTTTTGGTATTTTATTTTGTTTGCAATATGTATAAAGAGGGAATAGAGTTAGTTTTGTCCCCTCTGCTTGTTTGCATGAAGCTTGTTTTTCAATATTGTTATGGTTTCACAGTCAACTAAAAACTGTTTTCGGCTAAAATGAACAGTTGTGACAACAGCAAGGATTGCAACTATTGCGGCTTTCGTTTGCAGAAATTGTAAATTTTTCCAACACTTAACCACAAATCTATTTTACTATCCCCTAGTTGAAAAAAAAAAAAAAAACAACAAAACAAGACAGCATTATATGCGGTTTTTAAAGCGGATCTTTTAATACTCACAACTTCTCTTGTTTTTTGTTATTTTTTTCAGCAAATCGTTTCCGATGCTAAAGAAAATATGTTTCAAGAGGATATATATATATATATATATATAAAAAAGCATACATAAATGTTCTACAACTAAGTCTTACAAATTATTCGTTAAGCTATGGCAAGCGGGATTTTAGCGTAACGTTTACAAAAAATGTGTTATTCGCCATAAGGGAGCACAATGCTTATGCTTATAATGAAATGCAAAAAAGCCTAACAGGAAACCTTTTCAAAATATTTACAAACGTTGATCGGATATTTTCAAGCGTTCAAGTCAAAAATTTTCATTTTCATGTCCCCCCAAAAAGGCCGACAATGGAAAGCACAAATCGAACGATCGCTTGAGCGGCTTGAATTTTACGTTTATGCATAAGATCTTGCGGTTATGTAATTTAAAATTTACAGACATTATGATGAAGTGAGTGCGTTTTACTTAGTTGTGATGATGATGATGATGATGATGATGATAAAGAAGAAGGAGAAGAAGAAGAACAAGAAGAAGAAAAAGGGGAAAACAAAACTAAAAGCATATCATTAAATTTATAAATAATTGCGCCAATTGTGGTGGCAAATTACTTATATATATATATATATATATATATATATGTATATATATGTGTATATATGTATATATATAAGGCGACAACATTAGTATCTTCAAGCGGAAGAGAAGAAGTAAGAGAAAGGAAAACCACTACGAAATGTCAACAGCAATGTTTGTATGTCGCCAGTTAAATGAGTCATGACTCATGATTGCTGTATTTCAGTTTATTTTTCCTTTTCGGTTTCTTCTTAAGCAAACCATTAAAAGTGATATAAAACTTTACTGAGTTTGAATTTTTTTTAAATAATAAATTATCGCGAATGCTTTATCACAAGGCTTATTAGTAGAAATGAATTTTATTTTATTTTTTCTTTTTTCAATTAATTTTTATTGATACAGTAGTCTTTCTTTAACGACATGCGATATTAATTCGCTTCTTCGACCAAGCATTTATTTTAGGCGTCAAT